CAAAGAAGTAAAAACAACATGATGTTGCTGGTTACAGAGTTCCTAATAACATAGAAGCAACAACAAGTAAAACAATATGATGTTGCTGGTTACAGAGTTCCTAATAACATAGAAGCACAAAGAAGTAAAACAATATGATGTTGCTGGTTATAGAGTTCCTAATAGCATATAAGTCACAACAAGTAAAACAACAATAACATAGAAGTAACAACAAGTAAAACAATATGATGTTGCTGTTTACAGAGTTCCTAAAAGTAAAACAATATGATGTTGCTGGTTACAGAGTTCCTAGTAACATAGGAGTCACAAAGAAGTAAAAACAATACCTTCAATACTAAAACTAATTAATGGGTGGTTACACTTAATTTTTTACACTTAGTGCTGTAACATTCACTCAACGTGTGGACACCACCGATATTGAACAGTATAAAAACAACTCGGCAATATATTTACCAAACTACTTAGCAGGTAACGGTAAGTTTTATAATTTACACGATAACAAATAATAACTGTGCTTCTAGTAAACAATCCTTCGATTATATCTACGATTATATCAGGATAAAGTTTCGTCTCCGAGACAACTTGTCTGTGCTTCAAATCGAAGTAACATACACGTTATAATTTCAAGGAAGGTGTTTGAAATACAACCAGAAAAACAACTTGGCTAGGTTACAGCGAGTAATTCAAGTAGAATTTCGCTTAGATGCTATAATTCAAATAATCGCGCAGCGTTTCGCCCGAAACGTTCCCTGTAAAGTCGTTCAACGTACACTCGATTTAAACGAATTCTCAACAGTCGAGGATACGAACTTGACTCCAGTTTAGGTCACGTGACTTGAGGGGGTCTTTTTATCTGTAAAAGATACTGTTTAGAGATTAGTCCCAGTTAGAGAACGTTGCACCACACCTTGGATGATGAACAACTGATGCTTTCAGTTCAACTGGACTGAAGTATATAACTTTGTTCCAATACCCCTGGGATGAGAAACTCGAACATTTTATTTGTTTGTTTGAAGTTAAGCACAAAGCTACACAATGGGCTATCTGTGCTCTGCCCACCACGGGTATCAAAACTCGGTTTCTAGCGTTGTAAGTCCGCAGACATACCGCTGTGCCACTGGGGGGCAAAACTTGGATGTAAAAAAAGAGCCTCTTATGAACATTAATAAAACTAAGTGTTTAAAATATAAAGATAGCTATTTATACACAGTAATAACTATAGCTTAACAAGATCGCACATCCAAATGTTATGAGCACAGAGAAAGGGCATATTTAAAGATGTCCAAGTAATACCCAGTTTTATTGATTATTGATACTTATACATCACTTTACATATTCTTACCTCTCTTTCAATGATGGCCTACATTATAACATATAAATTATGATCTAGATGTTAACGCCTCATTTTGGATAACAAAGAGAAGACACCATAAAGGGAGTGAATTATGTCAACACAAGGTATGTAACAACTGATGGCAAGAATTCACTCCCTTTATGGTGTATGTAAACAAAAGGTATGTAACAACTGATGGCAAGAATTCACTCCCTTTATGGTGTATGTCAACACAAGGTATGTAACAACTGATGGCAAGAATTCACTCCCTTTATGGTGTATGTGAACAAAAGGTATGTAACAACTGATGGCAAGAATTCAATCCCTTTATGGTGTATGTCAACACAAGGTATGTAACAACTGATGGCAAGAATTAACTCTCTTTATGGTGTATGTAAACACAAGGTATGTAACAACTGATGGCAAGAATTAACTCTCTTTATGGTGTATGTAAACAAAAGGTATGTAACAACTGATGGCAAGAATTCACTCCCTTTATGGTGTATGTCAACACAAGGTATGTAACAACTGATGTAACAGCTTTATATGTAGCTATGATTATAAGACTACAATGAATAGATACCATACTAGTTTGGCAGAACTAAATACAAACTTAACTTTCAGCATCTCTTTTCATCCACATTGTTTTTAATTTGAGATAAATTCTACACTAAACAAAACTTACAACATCAACTCGCGTAGCAACAAACAACCAGTCCCTGACTGAATCTATGGTGTAGCAACAAACAACCAATCCCTGACTGAATCTATAGTGTAGCAAAAAACAACCAATCCCTGACTGAATCTATAGTGTAGCAACAAGCAACCAATCCCTGACTGAATCTATAGTGTAGCAACAAGCAACCAATCCCTGACTGAATCTATAGTGTAGCAACACTACAAAGTATACAGTCTATGTCGTATCATGTTTTTTTCTTCAGACTACTTTTGTGCTTTTTTGTTCAGCTTACATAAAAAAAATACTTTAAGTGAGTATAACAGAATTATTGATCCATTTTTCATTCCTTTTTGAAAATCGTTAAAGATTAAAATAAGAATAGCCGATATTTTTGAAGAGGGGATCCCTTCTCATCTGACATCCACATAAAGATTCTCGTATTAATTACTTGTTACTGCATCACAGATTCAGTCAGGAATTGGTTGTTGTTGTTGCTACACTACAGATTCAGTCAGGAATTGGTTTGTGTTGTTGCTACACTACAGATTCAGTCAGGAATTGGTTGTTGTTGCTGCATCACAGATTCAGTCAGGAATTGGTTGTTGTTGTTACACTGTAGATTTAGTCATGGATTGGTTGTTTGTTGCTACACTACAGATTCAGACAGGGATTGGTTGTTTGGAGACAGTCAAAATACTGGTAAGATAAGATAGAATTACACTTTGTATTGGAAACATAATAAACGTGGATCATATGCCTTGTATCGGAGACAGACAAAACACTGGTTAAACCTGGTAGTCGTTATATTATTGGTCATATATCCACACAATCTGTGCTGTTATCATGTGGACGTGAAGATGGAAATTGCCGCAAGCTAAATAAGTCATAAGTTTGCACGTATTTCTGTAAGCTATAGTAATTAACAGTATCAAATTTAAATAATTATATATATTAGTTACTTATTATATTAGGCAGATTTCATGTATATATATATATGTAACATCAAATTTATTAAGTAGTAGTAGTAAGCACATTGGCCAAATGTGACAGGTATGGTACATGAAGCTTTACGTGTGATTGTTCTGCTTTGGAATTTGTTAAGTAGGCCTAAGTAATGAGAGTACCCAATTGTTGCCCTAGGGTATATTGGCCATAGAAGTTTTTTGTAGTTTTCTTGTTACTCATAATTAAGATTATCTATTATTAATTGTAAATATCATTGTAGAATTTGAGTATATATTATCGAAGAATTGACTACATTATTGAATTGAAGACAGATAAAAAAAAACTTGTGAAACATGATACGGCGTGACGCCTTGTACTGTAGATAGACAAAACACTGATCTGTATTATGTTAACCATAACTTACCTGTATCTCTTTGTGGTAAATAACGACCCCTAGGTATGAAATGGTTATTAATTGCTATGGAAGAGGGCTCGGACTGGGTGATGTTAGTAATAGGGGTAACAGTTGTAGTAGCGGCGTATTGGTCAGCATAAAGAGTAGCTAGTGGTCTGTCTGACGTGATGTAACTAAATCCTGGGAACCCTAGGAAAAATGGGGGCAGCATGGTGATGTACTGATTCGCAGTTCAATCTTTTGTAACTATATATAAAAAAAGGCTTAACTTCATTATTAAATTATCTGTAAAAGATTTGTACACAAATGATATAGGGGTTGTTTTAACATAAGAATTTCCCAACACTTTTAGTTAATTTAAATCGTTTCGCATTTTCTCGTAAAGACCTCCATGGCTCAGCAGTAAGTATGCAGGCTTACGACACCCCTGGTGGACATGACAAAAGTAGCCCATTGTGTAGCTTTGCCCTTAGAACAACTAATTATAAACACGTTATGCTACTTGCTGGCTAACATTTTAACAGGTCAAATAAATAATTAATTATTTATAATAATAATTAAGAAGAAAAAATTAGAGAGTTTCAACTTATGATGTAAAATTATTGCTTCTCTTCCCACCATTGTTTCCAAAGCTTCTCGGCACTAGAGGGCAATAGTGTCCTGCCCTTTACCCACAATACGCATGTGCGGAGTTTTTTTGTTTCTTTTTCCATTTTCACCAGAAAACTTGTTAACTAAAATTAAGACTAAACGACATATATATATACACACTAAGAAATAACAACTTAAACACAGTTAAGTAACAAAGAACATTATCTGTAACTGTGCACTCGGTCCCTTGATTCCTCCCTTTACTCGGGGATCAGTCCCCAAATCCCCCATACGTGGGGTTATTTATTTTCTGCCAGTGTCCCTGGCAGGTATAAGCCTAAAAAAAACCAGACAAAAAGGAAACACAATAGAAATTTCATTCAATAATAACCAACCACTCTACTGCAGGAATTATTAGACATGACTAGCTCCTCTAATTATAAAGATGAATTCAAAGATTTTATTGTGACGTCATCTTCCACGTGTTTCACTAGCTGAGAGCGTGCATTAAATATATAAAGAGGAATTCAAAGATTTTATTGTGACGTCATTTTCCACGTGTTTCACTAGCTGAGAGCGTGCATTAAATAAACACTTACAACTGATTAAAATAGCACTGTGATGTAGCAACAAGTAACTAATCCGTGATCGAATCTATTTCTGTTCATGGCTCCAACTTACACCCGTTAACGTTTAGCGATTGTTGTTGGAACTCCAGGGCTCCTCTGAACGACCTGTTCAAGATAGTCACAATTATTTAGTAAAAAAATAATAATAATGATAAATAAAGAATTTGTATAACACAATTACCCGTGGTGGGCAAAGCACAGATTGCCCATTCTGTTGCTATGTGCTTAACAACATAAAACCGAATGAATGGGACAAAAGTGTTTGGTGTAATTTGTCATTTGATTTAACAGCTTCAGAAACTTTTTCTGGTGTACAAGACACGGTTCTGGTGATAATATATAGTATAAGTGTGTCATTTCATTTCAACCAATGGGTGGAGGGCCACTAGAGGGTTACGCCCTCTCATCAGTCACGAGATGTGACTATAAAAAGTAGAAACGAATAGATGATGAATGAGTAGGAGAAAACTATGTTAAGGAAGTGTACATTAGGAAGTAGGGAAAGGAAGAGGAAGTGAAACAAACTGAAGAGATATTAATATGCACAAGTACATTAGTACATGGTTATCGACGTTTGTTCTGCCCTCCAGGTGGTGAATAAGTTTGGAGATGTAGTATTGGGTGGTCCACGTAATCTGGATCATCAAAAGGGAGTGGGTCAGTTGACCTTTTTCCATAGGGCTGGCGAGAAAACAGAGGGTTACGCCCTTTTTTTCGGCCATGAGATTAAACTTCAGAATATAGTGTTCATGGATAATGGATGATACAGAGGAAATATTTCTGAAATGAAAAGGATTCTAAAACGGAAACTCAAAACTTTACTTAGTTGTGAAAGAAATAAATAGTTTATGTGCTATCACAGCTTAAGAAACTGTTAACATGTATTAGGCCTAGGCTGGCAGAAGATATTCTGTTTATCAGTGTGATGAATTAAGCCTAGGTTGGGAGAAGATATTCTGTTGATCAGTGTGATATCTTAGGCCTAGGTTGGCAGAAGATATTCTGTTGAACAGTGTGATGAATTAGGCCTAGGTTGGCAGAAGATATTCTGTTGATCAGTGTGATGTATTAGGCCTAGGTTGGCAGAAGATATTCTGTTGAACAGTGTGATGAATTAGGCCTAGGTTGGGAGAAGATATTCTGTTGATCAGTGTGATGTATTAGGCCTAGGTTGGCAGAAGATATTCTGTTGATCAGTATGATGTATTAATCCTAGGCTGGCAAAGCATGGTCTGTTTATCATTATGGTGTATTAACTCTGGGCTGGCAGAGCATGGTCTGTTGGTCATTATGGTGTATTAACCCTAGGCTGGCAGAGTATGGTCTGTTTATCAGTATGATATATTAACCCTAGGCTGGCAGAGCATGATCTGTTGGTCAGTATGGTGTATTAACCCTAGGCTGGCAGAGCATGGTCTGTTTATCATTATGGTGTATTAACCCTAGGCTGGCAGAGCATGGTCTGTTGGTCAGTATGGTGTATTAACCCTAGGCTGGCAGAGCATGGTCTGTTTATCATTATGGTGTATTAACCCTAGGCTGGCAGAGCATGGTCTGTTGGTCAGTATGGTGTATTAACCCTAGGTTGGTAGAGCATGATCTGTTGGTCAGTATGGTGTATTAAGCCTAGGCTGGCAGGGCATGGTCTGTTTATCAGTATGGTGTATTAATCCTAGGCTGGCAGAAGATATTCTGTTGATCAGTATGATATATTAATCCTAGGCTGGCAGAGCATGATGTGTTGGTCAGTATGGTGTAGTAACTCTAGGCTGGCAGAGCATGATCTGTTGGTCAGTATGGTGTATTAATCCTAGGCTGGCAGAATATATTCTGTTGATCAGTATGATATATTAATCCTAGGCTGATAGAAGATATTCTGTTGATCAGTATGGTGTATTAACCCTAAGCTGGCAGAGCATGGTATGTTGGTCAGTATGATGTGTTAACCCTAGGCTGGCAGAGCATGATCTGTTGTTCAGTATGGTGTATTAAGCTTAGGCTAGCAGAGCATGGTCTGTTGGTCAGTATGGTGTATTAATCCTAGGCTGGCAGAAGATATTCTGTTGATCAGTATGGTGTATTAAGCCTAAGCATGATCTGTTGGTCAGTATGGTGTATTAAGCGTAGGCTGGCAGAGCATGGTCTGTTTATCAGTATGGTGTATTAATCCTAGGCTGGCAGAAGATATTCTGTTGATCAGTATGATATATTAATCCTAGGCTGGCAGAGCATGATCTGTTGGTCAGTATGATGTATTAAACCTAGGCTAGCAGAGCATGATCTGTTGTTCAGTATGATGTATTAAACCTAGGCTAGCAGAGCATGATCTGTTGGTCAGTATGGTGTATTAACCCTAGGCTAGCAGAGCATGATCTGTTGGTCAGTATGATGTATTAACCCTAGACTGGCAGAGCATAGTCTGTTGGTCAGTATGGTGCATCAAGCCTAAGCTGGCAAAGCATAGTCTGTTGGTCAGTATGGTGTATCAAGCCTAAGCTGGGAAAGCATGATCTGTTGGTCAGTATGATGTATTAACCCTAGGCTGGCAGAGCATGGTCTGTTGGTCAGTATGGCGTATCAAGCCTAAGCTGGGAGAGCATGATCTGTTGGTCAGTATTGTGTATCAAGCTTAAGCTGGCAAAGCATAGTCTGTTGGTCAGTATGGTGTATTAAGGCTAGGCTGGCAGAGCATGGTCTGTTCGTCAGTATGGTGTATCAAGCCTAAGCTGGCAGAGCATGGTCTGTTGGTCAGTATGGTGTATCAAGCCTAAGCAATTTATGTGATATGAGATCAGACTAATAATAATCACATTTTGCTTTACAGACCGTTTACAGGATTTTATTAAGAAGAATATTAAAACGCTTCAACCGACACTACTACTTGTTTTGTTGTGGATTTTTCTTTAAGTATAAACATGTCTTATGTCTGCGGACTTACAACGCTAGAAACCGGGTTTCGATACCCGTGGTGGGCAGAGCACGGATAGCTCATTGTGTAGTTTTGTGCATAAATTCAAACAAACAAAACTTTTCTTTGTCATGTTGGTCAATCAATCTAAAATATTAGCTGAAGAATAAGGTGACACAATACCACTGAAAAAAAGTGTGTTGTTGTTGTTGTTAGGGTGATTAACACAAGGACAGTTCAAGAAACGAGGCCTAGTGAGTTCTACATCCAGTGTTTCACACAACAAGTGATGCTAACAAATAATAATCTATTCCAACAATTTTATCATTATTAACAATCAAAGACAAGAATGTATTCCACAAACTACAGTATTAAATTAATAAAAACTACAAATATTCTATTCTGTAGCAATATATACTTGGTAAACAAGTGCGGATTTCACAAGAAATAAAGGAAGAATGTCTTGGCAAGCTATAATTTGTTTTACTTAAGGAAAATGCAGGTCTATTAAAAACCTGAACAAGGTGATCACAGATTTAAAGAAAACATTACCCTAGTAGTAACATTAAAGAACAAACAATACCCTAGTAACGTTAGAAAACAAACAATACCCTAGTAACATTAAAGAACAAACATTACCCTAGTAACATTAAAGAACAAACAATACCCTAGCAACGTTAGAAAACAAACAATACCCTAGTAACATTAAAGAACAAACATTACCCTAGTAACATTAAAGAACAAACAATACCCTAGCAACGTTAGAAAACAAACATTACCCTT